CATCCGTTCATCCTCTTCTTCCTCATCGTCCTCCTCCTCCCCTCCGGACATCTTTGGGAATGGGCCAGAGCCTTGCCAGGGTGCATCTTTCCACCCGGTGGTGCGGCTGGCGTCGCGCAAGAGTGAGGAGGGCAGCGGCCAGGTCATAGAGCCTGCCCATCCCGCCCTCTCTCTTTCTCTCTCTATCTCTCTATCTCTCTATCTCTCTCTCTCTCTCTCTCTCTGCTTGCTTGCTGCAAAGTGACTTTTGACCCTTTGACTCAGCTGTGACTTCCTGCCAGCCATGCCCTTCCGGCTGAAGCTGCGGCGCACACGGCGCTACAACGTCCTGAGCAAGAACTACTTTGTGACACGGATTCGCCTGCTGGACAGCAATGTGATTGAATGCACTCTGTCAGTGGAGAGTACAGGACAGGAATGCCTGGAGGCAGTGGCCCAGAGGCTGGAGCTACGGGAGGTGAGGAGGAGTCTTTCCTTATGTGACCCACGTACATGCTTGTGTTCGACTGATATGTCAGCTGATAGTTGGTTGGTTTGTACTTGCAATCAGTACAAGTTTTCCGTATCAGTTCTGTATCATTTCTTCATTCAAACACGTAAAGGCAAGATGAGGTTATCACAGAACACAATGCTGAGGGACACGTTAACATGTTTAGGGCTTACAAATGATCGAATTGTCATGGTGTTTAATGTTGATGTACAATATCATCTGTTGTCAGCTTCCACAGATATTAGTAGTGGTATTGCTATTAGTAGGGTTGGACAATATTGACATAGGGTCCTATACGTCCCTTTCTGGAAAATCAATTGAGTCTTTTTTTTTTTTTGCTAATCAAGCAAAAAGGAAATCCCTGATAAATCAAGGCACTTCATCAACTTGTTGCAAAAATCGAGCAATAGAAAAAACAAAATCATATTTCAAAGTATTTGTTGTCAAATCACCAAACTGTTGGTAATCACCCACATCGATCATGCACAGATAAAAAGACTTTCAAACATTTCTGAATGCATTGTCAGATTGTGTGTGTGTGTGTGTGTGTGTGTGTGTTTGAGAGTGGGATTGTGTGTGTGTGATGGCCACGCGTCTCTCCCCATACCCTGTGTGTGTCTCCCTGCCCTCTGCTGTCCCCTTCCTGCGGGGTCTTTATCCGTCTCTAACGAAGCGTGACTACCTCTGTCCTCTTTTCTCTGCAGAAGAAAGAGATACTGCTCATCCCCCTGTCCCACTTCCCACCCCTCCTGTCCATGCTTTCTCTGTGTGTTTTCTCTTATCCCTTTCTTTCTGTTCCCTCATTTTCTTTACGTTTCCTACATCAAGGTTTAAACCGCCACCTTGCTCTGTGCTCACACAGGTATGTAGCTTTGCACGGGGCCTATTGTTTGTAGATGGAGTTGTTTTGCGTGTGTAAGTGCAGTTTGTTCACAGATTGGAGAATGAATGTGTGTTTGGTTGAAGACTGATTGACAAAGTGAGACAGAGGAGCGGTGTACATGTGCGTACTCACGCCGTGTTGTGGTATTTGCCAGGTGTCAGCGATGTTATAAATAAGGTGATGTGACGCCTGAGCTTCAGCTGGCGTCTGCCCCCTTGAATGCACACACCATTTGAGCATTTGTTGTTTTCATCTTTATTGATGTACCTGAGGCCTTGTGTGTGTGTGTGTGTGTGTGTGTGTGTGTGTGTGTGTGTGTGTGT